TTTTCATTGACATCAGTGAGTTCATAGATACTTTTTCATTGTACACTCTCCATTCATCATTTTATTAATGTGATGCGAAGCCCTTTATTATAATCACTCGAAATGTTTTTTTTCTTTCTCGAATTCCGCTTCCACAATCCATATTCTGTGACGCGATACCATGGAGAACGGCACATCATCTGATGCTTGTTGAAACGTCATTAGAGGCGTTGAGATCTCGATGTTACGATTACGATTTTGATCCAATTTCCGGTATGATGTTTCCTTGGTCCAAAGTAAAACCCGGATAACAAAAATAATCTATGGATTATAATTTCTTATGTCGATATAATGAAGCAAGATTAAGTGGTAATTTTAGCAATAATTAATTATCATTAATACTAATTATAATTCATCAATAGATAATTGTTGCCATCTGTTTTTGCATTAAGTAACAAAAGTCTATGGAAGACTACTAGTTATGTCTTTTTTATGATTGTGCAGTAAAAACAGAGAATGAAAAATATAAAAGTTGTTTCTTTATCAAATATTTGTAAAGAATTTTTATTTGAATGTTTTTCATATATATGACGTGTGAATTCTATACAACCTGCAAAAGTGCTTCAGTCTAAACAAGAGAAAAGTCACATAGATTAAGTTTTTAAAAATCACAATCTCGAAAATCGAAATCCAGAGAATAATCGTTAAAACATGAGGTGAAAGTATCGAAATCGAACGGGCATCACTTTTTCCAATCTTGCTAAGAACAGTTCATTCGTTTACAAATAGCGTTAATAGTTAGCACTCTTTTTTATAGTTAACACAGTTGTGAATACAGATGATTATAGGAAAATGAACTATATAGATAATTAAACGATCAATCGATATCGTTCATGAAAAATATGTTGATTGAAGTGGATCAGGTTCTCATAGGAGTAAATTTAGACAAAAAAAAAGTCTGATACGAGTAAAATAAAGATGTCTTTGGCGGAAAAGCTTTTCTACGATAAATTATGGTGAACGATTATTCATTTTTTTGTCAGACATCCTTTTTCTATATAATCAATATTTGTCGCGTTGAACCACATTCCGTAGTTGAGTACAACTCGAATACTATCTTGTTATTCATTTTCTAATGACTTCTATGCAATGTGCTGATTGTTACAATAATATGAGATATTTATTAGTATGTAAGAAAAATGATATACTCTTCCACTTTTTTTCTTGTACACATTTGAGCATCATTGGATTGATTTCATTTGCGTCAAACCATTGGTTTGTTAGCCTGTGTACTATCTGTTTAACACTACTATAACTGATTGAAGTACGACAATTTTTGATGGTAGTTATTTCAAAAATTTATATTTTAAAAAATCTTAAATAAATTTAAAATAAATATTTCAGATCAAGTATAAATACAGAAGAATTATCAAGAGAAACAAGATTCAATTCAACAACATCAACTTGATCAGGACAGATCTAGCTTGAGTTTTTTTTATCTTGGTTAAGAAAATATTTTTAATTTATTAAAATTTGAATTTTCACTTAAAATGCTACGTAAAAAAAATGATGATGGAAATATTGGAATTTCTCGCCCATAATTCACAAAATTTTCATTTAGTAATGCTTCTCTACCTTCATTTGTTAATAATTTTCGTTTTGATATATGAAAACAAACATTTGGATAAATATCAAAACAAAGAAGTAATATCACCTTTTAATAAAAAAAATATTAGAATTAAATTAAATAGTTGTTTTTGATAAATACAATATCTAATTTTGAATGTGATTGTTCAACATC